GCAGTAATGACAGAGTGATTTGTGTGTGACCGTGTTTGTAGGTACACACGGGAGGCAGGCGTGCGCTCTTTGGAGAGGAAGATCGGGGCCATCTGTCGAGCGGTGGCTGTGAAGGTCGCTGAAGGTCATAAGGTCTCTAGAGCAGAGTCCCCCACTGAACAACATGCAGGTAAAACTGGGACTTCTTCATCTCACACATCATTGTTGTTTACGGCTGGAATTACACCAGCTCCCCCAGCTCTGCTTCAGTCGTAGACTCAGGATTGATGGTCGTAGCCTTTGGGCAAAGATAAAACAGTCTGTTCCAGTGTGCTCTTGTCTTTGTTGCGTCCCGATGGCTATCTTTGCCCACACTGAAATGTCATTGGATGAAAAAAGTGTACACATAGCTACATATTAAATCTAAAGTATGTTCTGATTGGCTGGGATGATACTTTGTGCAGTATTTTGCTTTCATTGAGAACAGGAAAATGTATATGTTGCTGAAAACACATTGCACCACTTGGTTTGGACGCACTGTAATTATGAGGCAGAATACACTTTCAATGACAAACCCTGTTCAGCTGCTTGAATAAAAATTATATTCAAAAACATGACAAAACTATTATTTTAAAATAATAGTTTAAAATAAAATAAATGTAAATAAAATTACTATTATTTCAATTAAATTAAAATATAATACATTAAATATATAACAATATTTAAAAATGATTATTATTAGAATTGCAAATTATGTTATTATTAATGTATTATTTATAAAATCAAATAAAAATATATATTAAATAAATAGAAATTGTTATTGTATCATCAAAAATGTATTTAATCAAATGAAAGATTAAATTATAATAAATTGAATTAATTAGAATATATTTAATATAAAAAATATTTAAATCAAATTGTTATCATCAATTTATTATTTATAAAATAAAATAATTAAATTAAATGATATTAAATTCTTATATAATATATTGAATATATAACATACAAATGTTAAAATAAATACAGTTATTTTATTGTCAGTGCAAAATAATGTATAAAAGAAAACAATTACATTTTAATAAATTAAATTAACTATTATATAATATAAAATACTAAATATATAGTTAAATGTTAAAATAAATACATTTTCATTTATTAAAAAGGGAAATATTTTATTTTACTTCATAAAATAACAAATGCATTAAATTATAAGTTAAATTAATTATATTTGTCAAATATTTATTTTATTATCCAAAAATATTTTGAAACAAATGGTTTATTAAATCTAATATAAGAAATATATAATTTGTTATAATTACATATTTTATTATCACTGGAGTTTTATTTTATTTTATTTTATTCACCCTCTCTTTAAATAATGGCATCTGTATTGTCCTTAAAAATCCCCATAATGATGGACCACTAGTCTTGCATCTAGTAGGACACTCTTAAGAATGCATTCAATTAAGGAATGCTTCTGTATGTCTATTGTGTATTGTTTCCTGACAGCAGTGGCTCAGAAAGGGTTTAGCATTCCGTGCCACATACAGACGGCTGACTTCAGCACAATCCATAACACATACTTTCCCTTGCTGTGCCACACAGACGGAATCAAGTACACACTAACTCTAGAAGTGTGTTCAGACTAAAGAGCATGTGTAAGGGAACCCACGCTGAGAAATTATGAAATGTACATTCAGAAAAACACGCATTATCTCACACATTATGAAAACCTCATTACACACATGCACATGTTGGTCATCAATCTCTCTAAGCACGGGCCCCCTGAGGGGTGGAGGAGGGTAAAGCGTGCTAACAGACGGCCTTAGAACCCCCCTTCACGTCTCGCTGCAGCTGCTCCTCTGTAACAGAAGTATAGCCTGGCCAGTTAACGCTCTGTTCAGACTCTGATTTAGCCCAACTCTGCGTCTCAATCCTCTCCTGCATGGCCCATGTGTGCGATCCCGGGGACCTGATTATAGCACTTAAAACCTGGAAGATTTGGATAGATTTTCACAGATTTTCATGATATTTTACCTTTAAAGTTGGCTTGTGCAGTGTTATATATAATTGCAGTGACAAATTATTTACATAAGACCAGTCACATGCAACAATAAAATAAATATAGCTAATTTTGATTTCATGGTAACATGAAACAGAATTCACAACGCATTTAGATTATGTAAAATGATGCATTTCTGAGCAAAAAAAAGAAAGAAAAGAAGAAAGAGCAAAATTATGCAGGGCGGTATTTAATTTAATACATCAGAATTTGACTAAATTATAAAATTGAGCTATTTAGTTAATATTTAATGTTCATGACAACCACAAAATGAAGTAACAATGCATGGTTTAGTTATTTCAGCATTTCAGTTATCCTTTAAAACAATATAATATAGTTAATTGTCTGCTTTGGCTTGTCAGCAGAAAATAAGGTGGAGAAAGGTACAACATTTTGATGAATTGTTATGAAGGCAACTTTTTCCCCCCTAGAAAATGTGCGCTGATCATGCACAACAAAATCTTATAAATCATTATTATGTCTTTCCTCAGAATGGGATATGCACTTTCCTCATTTGTTCTTCAGAACATGATGCTCCTCCTTTGCATGTCATTGACAGTCTAGTCACATGACTTGTGGGCATCAAGGGGCATGTATATAATTGTGTGTCTTGCCAAGGGCAAACACACAACACACATAAAAAAAAAATAGACACATGGATGTACGCTTAAAGTAAATACACCCTGAAGCTTCTTTCTTTATTATATATGATATTAAACCCTATAATCCCTTTTTGTTTCCTCCCATAAGTATGTTAAGTATGTAACCAGAGCTGTCTATGTTTGTAGGTCTCGGAGCGACTGACCCTGCCAGGTGTGGCGATCGGGCTGGCCTGGACTCCGATGGGTGGAGAGATCATGTTTGTGGAGGCCAGTCGTATGGAAGGAGAAGGTCAGCTGACTCTGACGGGACAGCTGGGCGATGTCATGAAGGAATCGGCCCATTTAGCCATCAGCTGGCTCCGCAGCAATGCCAAAACCTACCTCCTTACTACTGGTAAGTTACAGACATACACTACGATTAAAATTTCTAATGTTTTAAAAGAAGTCTTGTGAATATTATTACAATTAACAAAATAACTTTTTTTATTTTAATATATTTCTAAATGTCATTTCTTCCTGTGATGGCAAATAATTTTCTACAGTGATTGACCGTGAGCGAGACTGATTTATGTGTTTGAATGATGTTGTAGGCAGCGCTGATCCTCTGGAGGGTACCGATATCCACTTGCACTTCCCAGCAGGTGCCGTTACCAAGGACGGACCCTCCGCCGGTGTTACAATAGTAACGTGCCTGGCTTCGCTGTTGAGTGGGCGGCTGGTGCGCTCTGATGTGGCCATGACTGGAGAGATCACTCTGAGAGGACTGGTGCTGCCGGTGAGGAACCCAAAGCACATCCTTCACAGAAACTATTTCAAAACCATTCATCACTGGAAGTTGCTGATATCTCACGAGATACATCTTGTCTCTCTACAGGTGGGAGGTATAAAGGATAAAGTCTTAGCAGCTCATCGAGCCAATCTGAAACGAGTTATCGTCCCCAAGCGCAATGAGAAAGATCTGGAGGAGATACCTGCCCATGTGCGAGCTGACCTGGATTTTGTTTTCGCCAGCACTCTGGATGAAGTCCTGAAAGCGGCCTTTGATGGCGGTTTTCCCACAGCTGTCAGTCATCCACAAGTTGTCAGCAAACTCTGAGATTGTAGCTGCTAGACAAACTCGTGAGCTTGAGACTTTGTTTTTCCTCATAGGAAGCTAAACTCTAAGCACTGAATACTAGCAAACCAGCTTTATGCAAGCCGATATTAATTTTCCTCTAATTCGTTTATGATTTAATTACAGATGATCCTTGTTGACATATTGTAGGAGTATAGTTTTGTTCCTGTAGAACTTACAACAAAAGTTTAACTGACAATTTTTCAGATGTTGATTCTGTAGATAATTATACAAATATACTTTACATAATACTTTATAATTATACAATTATACTAAATTTTTTTTTTTTTGAAAATTGTGATTTAACCAAGAGTATTTTTCATTAAATGAATTAGACTAATGAAAGTCAAAGTTCTTAAATATAAAACTGTAAAAATTTAAATGTTGACAATTTAAAGGAATAAATTTGGATGTGAAACGAATGGAGGTTAGCATTAAATAACTGCCAGAAAAATCATTGTGTCACTAAAGGAAATGTGTTTCTAGAATTGGTAGCACCCACAAGCCTCGTTCTTCAAAGCCGACATTTGACCTGCTTTAATGCGTTCTTGTGTTTGATGACTGAAATATCTGCAGGACAGCTCTGGCCTGAAAATGCAAGGCGTGTTTGGAAATGTTGTAAGCTGTAGATTAGCCACTTTCACTTCAGTCTGTCAGTTCCACATGAAGGGTAGAGATACCCTTCATGAAGAGCTCATTTCCACACACTTTGGTCCTGGAAAACAGCCTATTTAAAGCTAAAGTTTGTGGAGACCGCTATAGGCTATATATAGATTGAGCTCCAAGAAAAGTATAAATGCTGGCGCTACTTGTTTGAGCATCCTAACCAACAACATTTATTGACTCTACCAATATTGTGAGATTGGGGTTGAACTACATTTGTCCAACCGGTGGAAAATTGGGAAATCGCATTTTGTAGATGAAAAATGAAACGGAAAAATAATTTAGTAGTTCCATTAGGCAATGTTGGTGACACATTTTAGCTTAAACGTTCAGTGAAAATCCTGTCAAGGATGTTCATCATGAGGAAAATACATATTAATTCTGATCTTATAAGAGGAAACAGCAAAACAATAACCACTTTGCCCGCAGTCTTCGTTCTGAATAAGTCCTATTCATTCATTTTCTTCAATAGGATGACAACATTCCTAAAAAGTCATGAAATTAAAAACATGCTTAACATACAGAAAAAATTTATGTTGCACACAATGCAATTTAATGTCAGTTATAAAGTAATATAGTTTTAGGTTTACATAAAAAGCAAGTTCCACATTATCAGACAAACTAACAAGGACAATGCAAAGTAACTAGTTGGTAGAGTCACTCTCACTGATGAGGTGGAGCGGGAACCACATGAAGCCAGCATCACCATCAGCTGTAATTTAGAATGAGCAGTGAGAAAAATTCACAGAGGGTATGAAAAAGATAGATTTATTTACTGGCAAAATAGAACAAAAACAATAAAACAAATAAAATTAAAGATCAGGACTAGCAACAGTACAATGTATCCACAGAGATGTTTGGCTTTGCTTCACCCTATCCTTGCAAAAAAACTGAAATACAGACATACAAAGAACAACAGCAACAAAAATATCGACTTACAAAAAGAGAAAAGACACTGATGTCTTCTGAAGAACAACACTATCTACAAACACTGAAGATTAGCCACAAGTTTACAACAGCCTTTTTCATTCCATTTTCTTAGAAGTCATTACAAAATGATAATTATGACAATCTCATTATAATAACTGTATTAATTGCCCCGGTTCCTAGCCTGATATTCAATGCAGTGTTGACTCCAGTGTTTGTAATTGAGGGCTTCCAGGTTATGAAACAAAACTTATGATCTCACACATACTGTACAACTTGTATCTATCTTTTAAGTGTACTTGATATAAAAAACAAAGAAGTGTGGCTTTTATAACCCAGCTTGATGTGCGTGTGCCAAGCCATCCCTTCAAAAACAAACAGGAGAGACACTGCAGCGACAGGCAGAAACAAACAAGACTTCTAAAATGAAATCTGGACTTGTTATAACTTATCCAGTGGTCATGCACCAATTACCAGGACCTTTCTTTATCATACTCAAGGTAGGAAAAATTAAAGGGAACAAAAAAAGGGTAGGGTGGTGTGTGGGGGGGGGCAAGATTAGAATAAAACAAAACCTAATATTTGAACATAAAAGTTAGTGTTTTATCTGAACTGAAATGCAAATCGTCTTGGGAAACAACAACAGAACGAACAAAAACTTGTTCTTTTTGATGACTAGTTCGAGCGAACAACAGCAAATAGTTCCCTAGGTTAGCTACTCCCCCATCCCCCAAGCACAACTCAAGGTATCCTGCGGTGTATTGAAATGTCTGGTTTCATGTTTGTATGTGTGTGAATGCGTTCAAGTATGCACGGCTGTTAGTCCTCAGCACATGGATATGGTGACGTTGATGCCCAGGTTGCCGTTCTCTGCAAACAGCTGAGCAATGGAGGTGTCAAACACAAGGCAGTCACTGTTCATGATGGCGGTGGCGATGCCCTCATGAATTGAACGTGGCGTCGCTTCCCAGGTGAGTCTCCGCCGGTGGCCATTCAACTCCAGCCGGTAGGCGAAGTTTTCTGCCTGTTTCCGTGTGCCGATCAGCTGCACGATGGCAAAGAACTGCTGGTGGCCGTCATATTTCTCCTGCTTCTCCAGCACGAGCATAAAATGGAAGCCGAAGCATGACTGCATCATGACCCAGTCCACCGCCCCAGGCAAGTTGATGTCTGTGGCCAGGAAGACAATATCCTCACCTTGTAGCGTGGTTATGGACTTGTGCTGGTGCAGCAAGTGGGGCATGACGGCGTCGAGAGATCCCTGCCACTTGCAGGAGGCGCCAGGACAGGGGCAAGAGTATGGCCGGAATTCACAAAGCTCCTCGTGTTCAGCTTTGTCTGTGTGCGGTAGGGTGACTTCGCAGCCCGATGAGGCATACTTGCATGGGAAAAGCACTGAGTTGGCCACTTTCTCCATGGCCAAATTGCGGATTGAACCAAGAGGGCCTCTGCAGGTGGGGCAGCAGGTGAGTTTGGGCCGGCAGTTGCTACAAACCAAATGGCCGCTCTGGCACTGCAGGATGGGCGGCAGCACATAGTCAAAACAGACCGGGCACTCGAACAGGCTGGCGAGGTCACTGTTGGATGCGGTGGTGCCCGACAAGGTAGGGACACGCTGAGAAGGGGGACACTTCGAGGTTCCTGTGGGCAGCGCTGTGGCAGTCTGGCGACTCATTTCTGAACAACAGAGGGAGACAGAGAAGAGAGTTAGCATGGCTAACACAGACAGCCAGAAGGAAATGGAGGTACATGCATTTACACCAAATCCAACTGCAGCTGAACTCCATTACGCATGACAACAGAGATCAGCTGGCATCTCTGACCTGAGCACCTCTGCATCCTGAACATAAAACAGTAGACATTTTAAAATGTAGCCTCGGGGGGAAAAAAGGTACACGTTTCTGCTGATTCAACCACTATGAACGCCAAATAAAGCTATGAAAGAGTCTCAGCAGCGCTGAGGCCTGTTCTTCCTGAGTGGCTCATAGATATAGCAGTCTAGTTCCACTGATAAGTCAGACGTGGGCCTCTGGGGAAGGCTTGGGGCAGCTATTTCTGTCACAACTAAAATGCACAGATCTTCACGCCTCAAATTTTTTTTTTAAAAGCCAGACATGGAGAGTGGACTCTGTAGGGCTGTCACGATTATGAAATTTGGCTGAAGTTTAATTGTCTAAAAAATAGTCATGGTTATTGCGATTAATTGTCTGTTTTAGGGCTTTGGCAATCATGACGATTAATTGTATGTTTTTTTATGGCTTTCATTATATAATTGTGATTAATTTAAAGGTTCAGTAAATAATTATGATGTTATCTTTTAATCTTTGAGTTATTATTTTGCAGTGTAAGATTACAGAGAATTCCAAATTCTAAGAATCGGACAATACCGATCCAACACCAGCGCTATTTTTTTTCTACACCACTACAGAATATCAATACTGTGTTTGTGGAACTAATGGTCACACTTTTTTTAAAACCCTTTGTTAAACATAATCCACTAAATACTCACTTCCTCATTACGGAGAAAAAATACATTTGAATAAAAATATATAAGCTATGAAATTAAACTAGCTGACTGTATAATTTGGCAGCAGAAACAATATCTTGAAAAAATCTTTGGTGCATATACAATTTAAAGGGGTCATATGATGCTTTTTTAAAATATTATTTTGTGTATTTGGTGTTACAGAATATGTTGACATGTTTTAATGCTCAAAAAACAAAATTTTTCAAATACTGTACATTATTGTAGGTCCTCTATGCCCCTTCCTGAAACCACGCCTTCTTTCTTTGCGTGCACATTTGGGTGGCATTATGCTAATATTTTCACATAGTGATGTAGATATGTGGGGGCGTGCTAGAACGAGCCGTTTTAGGTAGGCGTGGCCGACTCAACTTTTATAAAGAATATCTCTTTGGATTTGAGACTTTAGTCTTTGCAACTTTACGGATCTTCATGCACCAAGAGCTTGTAACACTCCAAAGAGAAAGGAAAAATTGAAAATCGCATCATATGACCCCTTTAACAACGACAGCGGACAAGAGGGAGAATGTGAGCACTGTGTGCTCAGACGCTGCCATTCTCAGCGCCGTCAAAATAAACATCCCGGCACGAACGCATCGGCCAAACAGAAAAACTTATCGGCCGATGCCGATATTTGAAAAATGCCAAATATCAGCAGATATATCGGTCGACCACTAATCAGAGCACAGTATATCGTCTCATATGGAGGAATAAGGACAGTGCCAGATGACGAACTCCGTGTGTGTATGTAGGTGGCTTAGAATCTGCTAGTAAACACATCTGCTCTGATAAAGCCTTAAGTATTTTTAGACTCCTCACTGAGCAGCTCTCCGAGTATAACAACTGAGGCCAAAATTAGCCCAAGCGCAAGAGCTAGCACTACGTCCTCAATGCCTTTCTAGGTTTGTAGTCAAAGACCAGAGGATTAGAGGTGGCAACAAATATATATGGGTGCTTAACATGATTTACACATGTTCCTGGATCATCATCCTTTGGTCCTGGAACATTTCTATCAACCAGTCAGAAGGAAAAGGGTTAGACCTAGGTCCTAGAACAACAAAGAATGATGCAGGAACATGTTTTACAACACTCTAAAGCAACACTGCATTCAAGATATATTCGTACATCAATAAGTATCGAACTCATAGTCTTGTTATTGCTAGCACAATCCTGAAATGTTACAGCAGTGTTTCTCAACCCTGGTCCTGGGCACCCCCCAACACTGCACATTTTGTATGTCTCCCTTATCTGACACACCCATTTCAGGTCCTGGAGTTTCTAATGAGTTGAATCAGGTGTGTTTGATTAGGGAGACACACAAAATGTGCAGTGCTGGGGGGCGCCCAGGACCAGGGTTGAGAAACACTGTTACAGGAACACTGCCTCACTTGGGTAAGTCATGTTGTACATGTATGAATGAATGTAAGATTCTTGCTTGAGTGCATGACATGTGTGGTCAAATCCCGGACAAGTCCCCAAATTGTGTTAGAACTGTAGAGAAACATTTTACAGGCTATCACCTGGGTACGCATGTCAGGGGTGTCCTGGAGGGCTAACGATCTGCAGAGTTTAACTCCAAATTAATTAAACACATCTGAACCAGCTAATCTAGGTCTTTAGGATTATTAGAAACTTTCAGACAGGTTAGTGCTGAACTCTGCAGGATGTTGGCCCTCCAGTAACAGGACTGGACACAACTTATATCCAGAGCAGCTGTCACTGATACAATACAAGAAGCAAAGACAGTCTGTCTGCTTGACGTTGAGCCAAAGAGACAGCGGGCCAACCTCCCACCACGAAACAGTCTGAGTGGCTGATGGCTATTGTACACTACTGTTACGACATTGTTGCTCCATTAAGCTGAGATTTTAATGACAGCTGAAGTGATGCATGTGTCTTACTAAGAGGAAAAAGTGTAAATGAATTGGGAGGGGAGGGAAGGGAAAGCAAGCATATAGGTCCTGTCAAGTTTAGAGTTAGAGTTTGAGATAGTGCTTGAACTGTGAGAAAGAATTATTTATGGACATTGACTTTTATAAGTTGTGCTTGGCAGGCAAAATACGCTCCTTCTGCCAAAGCTAAATATCAATCCATCAGAAATTTGTTTCTTGAGGGGGGCAGAGAAGCATTCCAGAGCAGCATGTTCATCCGATTAGTCTTATCTTAAATTAACCTTCAATGTCATGAGCAAGAATAAGTGTCAATTCATCAATGAAATGTTTAAAACAAACAAAAAAAACTTTCATATAATTTGGGTTATTCTTTTGGAAAGCTATAATGTATAGTGTGACTGTTTGCCCTTTGTTTTCCTATTTAGTCCACTGTGCCAAAAGTAAGTCTAGAAAACACTGGAGAAATTATATGGCACATAAGTGTGTAAGAGTAATTAAGAGAAAGTAAGAGTGGTAGAAGCCCCTGCTGATTTTTCTTTGTAAAGTTCTTCGTCTGGGAATGAAAAGAACTGTGGTGTGTCTCTTTTCTCCAGCAGTGCTGAGCTGCTATGTCAGTGGAAAGTTTGCAGTCCATCACATATAACAGGAAATCCTGTAACCCCAGAGGAAGTGGTTAGAACTCATTGTCAGGTCTTCTAATGGCGTTAGGAAGACAGAACAAAAAGGCAAATGGCAATGCAACTGGCCTACACTGCACAAGCTGAAGCTGCAATACCCAAGACTGTTATTTGTGTGTCTCAGGTAGACAGTTAGGCCAGGTAACTTTAGTACATCAAATCAATGGAGCCTCAGCAAAAACATCAGCATTAATGCTGAGGGTAACATCAGCATTAGTGCTGAACGGAGTCAAAAATAAAAATAAAAACAACCCTTGACAAGTCATAGTCAGGTCTTAAATCCAAGACACAAACTCTTAATAAAGTATGTGAACAAAACAATTTTAGCTATGCAAGGTCAACAAGTTGACCTGTAACCTTGCTTAAATAAAAACACATCTGGTCTAATGGCACTAACAACTAGTGCTGTGTTTGATACATCGATACGATGATGTATCGTCACAGAGATCTGACGATACAAGTATCGATACAGCTGGCCCTGTATCGATATTGTGGCACATGCGCTGCAGTGGACCGCGCTAAATTTGAATACAAGAACACAGTTTAAAACGGAGTAGAAAAGTGCAAGGTTTCTAAAAAATAATGAATAGAGCATAATATATAGGCTACAACGAGGTTTGATCTGGCCGCAGAGGAACACAACCGGGTTTGCCTGATATGAAGAGACGTAATCCCCGAAACAGAGCTTCTCACTTGAGCAATATGGAAATATCTGTTAAATGTGTTAATTATCTTTGTCAACCTGGCAACCATGTGCACGCACGCTCTCTCTGCTGAGGATAAACGCGTTTGCTTTCTGAAAACACCGGTTAGCTTGCAGTTTAGCGATCTCCACTTCATTATTATATTATCAGAAAAGTGTGATTTATCAAGTGTTCATTTACAGTATATGAGAGAGAGAGAGAGGCTGTGTATGTATGAATTACCACCGTTTTGCCGCGTTTCTCTATTAACAGTGAAGTTGTGGCTTTAATTCCTTTAGATACAATGATGTTACCAGCTCCTTATTTAGAAAGATAATGTAGCTCTTCAGCGATTAAGCTATTTTATTGATAAAATTGCGGAATGTCTGTGCGCGCGTGCAGAGTGATCCGACTAAACGTGTGTGTGAGGAACAGTGTAAACAGCGAATTAGTTTAGAACTCTTCTAATTTTTTTTTTTTAAAGTAGATTTAAAATAGTAGAGTGAGTGTGTTGATTTGTGCAATGATAACCTACCAGCAATGTTAAGATGATTTTAATAGAATGAGTACATTACAATATAAATTTATTAGAACGAGTACATTATTATATATGGGCTTAAAAACAAGATGCAAGCAATCAGAATATTGTAGGGTGGGGAGTGCACAATGTAAACATGAAACATATGCCATTACCTATAGGCTATTGTACTGTGGTACAGTTATAGTGGCCCTTCATAATGCCGAGGTCAAGTGCCTGTTCTGCCAATAGTTAGCAACGGCCCTATGGTATGCAGTGTTTAATAAACAGCTGTTTTACAAAATTCTTCTGAGGTGAAATTCAGTGCAGTCCCGTATCGTGATACGTATCGTAGCCTCTGTACTGTGATATGTATCGTATAGTGACTTTGCTGGTGATACACAGCCCTACTGACAACTGAAATAATTTTTACCACTACATTAATGTAATGTAAGAACCAATAGTATGTACAACTGCACAACGATTTGCACCTGCATTTGTATACTTTTGTCCAGTACGTTTCTGGGGTTTCAGAATTCTTCAATCAATGGTTACAAAGTTCAAGCCAACCCAACACTACAACCTGAGTGAACAAAGCTTTTGATTTCGATTGAGTTGTGATTATTTGCAAGCTAGAATATGGTGAGGTGTTAACCTCAAACAATTTTCAATGATATCATAGAATGAACACTTTTATTTGTTCCCCACTAAATAATGTTATTTCACTAAATGTTTAGATTTTATAAAATTGTGCACTCATGATTTTTCTAGAATGAATTTGCTGCTAAATTATCCTAAACTAACCTAGTTTATAATAGTATTTTTGTCATAAATTATTATATATTTTTTCAATTGTTATTTTTCATTAAAATGAAGTTGTCTATATTTAGTAGATTGTGTTTAACACACAAAAGAGTGACGATCAGATCAACAAACAAAAGTATAGAAATTCTACACTGATTTAAAAAAAAAAAAACCTGCGCTGGTATCGGATCGGAATTGGCCTATACTCAGAATTTTATAGATCGGATTGGAAAAAATTGTATTGTTGCATCCCTACCATTTACCACACCCTGCAGCAATAGCACAAAAAGCTAAATCTCTGGAGTCATCACTCATCTCCAAGTCAGGACACAGATAATTGCAATGTAGTCACATCTCAAATATTCTAATTTTTGCTGATGGATTTAAATATCAAAACTGCAACCTAGGTTCGTCATGCCTGGAGCATGAGCTGGGACTCCACATGTCTGGTAAGAAATATGGGCTGGTTTCTGACGAGATGTGACAACATGAGTTGAAAGTTTTGAAAACAAAATATTCTCAAGCCATATCTGAGATTAAATAAGTGCATTGCTTGAATACACAATTGAACATTTTCATAATTCAATATTGTAAGTGATGTAACAATCAAATTTTATAACTGCACATAAAAATAAAAACCTGGTGTGTTGATTTGTGCAATGATAACCTACCAGCAATGTTAAGATGATTTTAATAGAATGAGTACATTACAATATAAATTTATTAGAACGAGTACATTATTATATATGGGCTTAAAAACAAGATGCAAGCAATCAGAATATTGTAGGGTGGGGAGTGCACAATGTAAACATGAAACATATGCCATTACCTATAGGCTATTGTACTGTGGTACAGTTATAGTGGCCCTTCATAATGCCGAGGTCAAGTGCCTGTTCTGCCAATAGTTAGCAACGGCCCTATGGTATGCAGTGTTTAATAAACAGCTGTTTTACAAAATTCTTCTGAGGTGAAATTCAGTGCAGTCCCGTATCGTGATACGTATCGTAGCCTCTGTACTGTGATATGTATCGTATAGTGACTTTGCTGGTGATACACAGCCCTACTGACAACTGAAATAATTTTTACCACTACATTAATGTAATGTAAGAACCAATAGTATGTACAACTGCACAACGATTTGCACCTGCATTTGTATACTTTTGTCCAGTACGTTTCTGGGGTTTCAGAATTCTTCAATCAATGGTTACAAAGTTCAAGCCAACCCAACACTACAACCTGAGTGAACAAAGCTTTTGATTTCGATTGAGTTGTGATTATTTGCAAGCTAGAATATGGTGAGGTGTTAACCTCAAACAATTTTCAATGATATCATAGAATGAGCACTTTTATTTGTTCCCCACTAAATAATGTTATTTCACTAAATGTTTAGATTTTATAAAATTGTGCACTCATGATTTTTCTAGAATGAATTTGCTGCTAAATTATCCTAAACTAACCTAGTTTATAATAGTATTTTTGTCATAAATTATTATATATTTTTTCAATTGTTATTTTTCATTAAAATGAAGTTGTCTATATTTAGTAGATTGTGTTTAACACACAAAAGAGTGACGATCAGATCAACAAACAAAAGTATAGAAATTCTACACTGATTTAAAAAAAAAAAAACCTGCGCTGGTATCGGATCGGAATTGGCCTATACTCAGAATTTTATAGATCGGATTGGAAAAAATTGTATTGTTGCATCCCTACCATTTACCACACCCTGCAGCAATAGCACAAAAAGCTAAATCTCTGGAGTCATCACTCATCTCCAAGTCAGGACACAGATAATTGCAATGTAGTCACATCTCAAATATTCAAATTTTTGCTGATGGATTTAAATATCAAAACTGCAACCTAGGTTCGTCATGCCTGGAGCATGAGCTGGGACTCCACATGTCTGGTAAGAAATATGGGCTGGTTTCTGACGAGACGTGACAACATGAGTTGAAAGTTTTGAAAACAAAATATTCTCAAGCCATATCTGAGATTAAATAAGTGCATTGCTTGAATACACAATTGAACATTTTCATAATTCAATATTGTAAGTGATGTAACAATCAAATTTTATAACTGCACATAAAAATAAAAACCTGGTTAAAATCAAGAAGCAGGTTCTGTTCATTTAAGGGCATTGATTAACTAACTATTGAAGAGGCACAGAAACAATATCATAGTAAAAATATTCACACTGAGAAAATGAAAGAGTCTGCATCTTGTTTAGACAGTACAAAGTTGCATAACTAACCTCTGAGACAAACACCTACATTAATGAAACACTTGAACAGTTTCTTACAATGCAGCACTTTGAAAAGCGTGAGGCAGAACCATCTAATATCCATTTCGCAGCCTAGCAAAATGACGATAGCGCTAATTAATGACATTAGATAGAAAGGGTTAGCAAATTTCAGTTTTATTAAACTCTGGCTTGGTGTTTAATCAGGTACAGTAATAATGTGGTCTGCTGCCAGACTCCATGGAGATGTTTGTGGTCAAGTGCTTTGTTCACTCAGTAGGTGTTACCATTGGAGTTAAGCTTGCTGCAGCCTCTGTAATGTGGTTAACGTTCTGCAACATTCTTTAATGGGAATTAGTTTTATTCCTGAGATCTGAAAGCAGTACTCAAAATGGATAAAAGTTTTGTGGGTTATTAAGATTTACGATTAGAGTTTGACTAGCTCTTTCATTATTATGAGGCTTATATGTGCTATGGAAACAAGCTTGTACAGTACACATGAATGCAGAAGGGGTTTGTGGGATACATTCTGGGACATGTTCCAATAAAATTAACTGCTTTTGGTCTAGTTTCATTTGTAAACAGCGTTCTTGAACACAGTTCTCTGGAAGAAGTCCTTATAAAATTGATGGAAAGCACAGACAAGAAGTTCAGTATGCAGGGTTCTGGTGGACGAAGAGATTAAGGCCAAAGAGATGGCAATGTGGTGTAACCCACCAAATTTAGTTTCTTAAGAGATGGGCCACTTTGCAATGTCTAATAGTTGAATGTGGTAACAGGCTCAGAGGGTCTGGAAGTCTGACGGTACAGATGTGTCCTGCTTTCCGGAAGGGGACTGAGAGTGAATATAAGCACAAGCCCTTATCACCCATCTTTCCTCAGATATTTCTCCATTCACTAAGAAGCCTTGCACATCCCCATGAACTGAAGCTGAACTAAACATCAGCTGAACATGAAATGGAGCATCACATCCAAGAAAAACCCAACCATGTTGCAAGTTTCAACGATCCTACATTTCCAAAGGCCTGCACATTGGCAGTAGTCTCTGTTTGGATAACCTAAACATTGCATGTCCTAAAAATACAATAACAGAACTCACACAGTGAGAACATAAAACTGAATACTTGCCTTCGTCCATATGATTCCCAAGTATGTCTGTCTTCTTTCCTTGAAATGTGTGGACCTCTGGAATGATAGAGAATGCAGAGAGAGAGAAGGTTTGGTTAGTCTTGTAAAATACAGTGAAGACACTTTAGATTGTTTTCCAACTGTTGAGCTGCTTTTCCGTTTTATTTTATAAGTGAGTGTTTGGTTTTTCCACAAAGAATAAAGAGAGGTGAAAATCAGGTCTCACAGCTAGTCAGTTTGTCCATTGCGTAACCAAAAAAAAAAAAAGTGTTTCTATGCTGTTTAAGTGTCACTAAGCTCCCACACCAACTAAACAACAACTACTTAAGTGTTGCAAATCCTTCTTAAACATTGTTCTTAGACAATGACTTTCTAAACAACATAACTTTTGTTTTTTCTATAGCAACTGTATAATAAATTATGATAACAGAAGAGTCAATGAAACTGGGAACAATACAGGTACAAAACAAGTAGAACAGATATTTCTTCATACCATGATCTAGAGATATTTATATGGACACACCCCTCCAACCGACCTCCTTTTAGTGGCCCTACGAATATAGCTTTATACAATTTTTAGCCTTCCTAACCTGAAGCCTGTTAAAGCTGATACTCACGGTGGGCAAGACTAATGCACAGCACAACAGCGTCTGGGCTTCACATTGATTTCTCTGCATTAGGCCACACTTCAATATTTCATCAGAAGCCATTCAAAATGGAAGGTCGATCAATATGCATTAAAGTATCTGGTGAAATTATTCAGCAGTTTAAGAGATATAGAAGTCTAAATCTGGCAGATAGTCAATATCATGGATCAGCATGACCAAAAGCCAACAGGGACTTAAAAGCTGAAAACTCAATTTTGTTTTGATATCAACAATCGTAATTGACTCTGCTGCTAGTATGAGAACCTCATGATTAAGTTATGAATCCATTCATGAGTCATACAGTGACCTGTCACGATGTACCAAATCTCGGGATCAATTCTATGTCATACAAAAAACGAATGCAGCCATTTAGCCACCAGCAAAAAGCTTTGGCTTGAGGAAAAAAAAACAAATGTAGGATAAGATAAAGGCATAGAAATGTACTGTGGGTAGTTGACAAATGGACATGGATTTTTTTTTTTTTTTTACATTTAAAATTTTGTGTTAAAATTTCTATTTTTTGAAGGCGATTATTTTAAGGAAAAATTTATGATTTCAGATGTGGTAACTAGTCAATAGTTTTAAGTAGGGATGCTCGATTATGACAAAGATCATAATCATGATTATTTTGGTCAATATTGTAATCACGATTATTTAACACAATATTAGTGGGCCATATAACCAAAAAATTTTTTAATGCAAGTCTAAAGTCTAAAGCCTATAGAAATTGAATAATCAAATGAAAAATAAAACAGCATAGTCTTCACTGTAAGAATTAGCTTCCTTTGTTTCTTATTTAAGCTACAAAAGACCTTGTGAAGAGCAGCGAGTGATTTTGTCCTTGTCTTTTGTGGTTTGATTAATATGAAGCACAAAGTCGGAAGCAGGAATATAGCCCGATGTCACTTTAAAAGCCGCACAGATCCAATTTACTGTTACTCTCTGAGCGCAATCCTCCTGAAGAACAGCGCAAGTTCTCTTTCGCACTTTTAAAAACATTAATAAATCTAATCAACTTTAATAACTGAAGCACCTCCCATTTTGCAAAAGTCACGCTACACGATTTTACTGATTTACACATGAAAATGGGCTTTTATGGAGGAGTGAAAGCGCACTGCTGGAAAGGGAGCGGAATGGGGCGCAATAAGCGTTTTATCTCGATTATTATATTTTCATAATCGTTGGAGGCCGAAATCGAAACTGAATTTCGATTAATTGCACAGTCCTAGTTTTAAGCAACATTTAATTTTAATAGTCATGTATCTGACCTCAAAAAACGCATACAATGCACACAAAAATGCATTGTAGACATTTTATTTGAACTATGGAGACTTTAAAAATTAAAAATGTATTTTTCTATAAAAAGAACATTTAACACAAGGTGTCTTTTTTGGGAAAATCTTGTTTACAAAAAACAAATACATTTCTTTAATTAAAATTTGCGACTTAGTTAATGAAGAAGGCTACATTTTTAATTAACCTCAAAATTGCATTATTTAATTGAGAAGTTTAAATTGATAAAGTGCAGATTATTCTTTATTTTTTCCAGATGTTTAAAAATAATATATGTATTTATCAAGAGAATGAAAATGTGTTTTCATCTACCCATATACAAGACAGAAATACATGATACTCCAGTCTGAGTCAGATTTGCCTTAGCAGATAGACGAGTCACAGCTTACCCTCACTGTACCGTCCCACTTTAATGTTCAACCCCCCCACAGCAACTCAAAACCTATACGTGCATCTTAGTCTACACTATTACACTTCTAAACTAATGGAGTGAACATAAAAGCACAGCGGAGTACAAAACACTGGTACAATGCACACAGCAGATCTGATGACGGCTTCATTAAAGCCACGCTTCCATGCCATAGACTCAAGCTTTCCACAAACATACACAAAGAAAATAAAATCAAGGATGGGAGGGAAATCTGCATTTTAAAACAAACTGAGAAAAGAAAATAAGTGTTGTCTCTCAAAATAGACAACTTTCCCTTCTTTGTCCACAGTAGAAATCACAGGAACGTTAGAAGAGGCCCAAAGGACAGCAACTGAGTGAATGGATTGGTTTTCTTATTTACACATAAAAAGGGTATGCTACATATGACTGTTTTTAATGTATTGATTGACTTCTGGTTTATGTCACATTTGAAAACGTTTCAGTGTTATATTGTCCATTCAATGAAAACGTTTTGTCCAATGATTTTCAATGTTGTTTTGGACTCATGACTTTCATGGTAGGAAGCCGACAAACAGTTAAAACTTTCTTTCAAATTTATTTTTGCATTCCACAGAAGAAAGTCATTCAGGTATGGAATGACATGATGGTTAGTAAATGAGAACAGAGCTTTCATTTTAGGGCAAAGTGAATGAGAGACCAATGAAATGGTCTTCCTCTCAGTTAGTAAAGTTAGTGGTGGTAGTAAACAATGCAAGCATGGTTCTATTACCTTTAGGTTTACTAGCAGTTCTGGCTGCTATGCAAGAGAAGAGCTTGAGCACCCCCTTCCATGAGTACACAGGCTGTAGTCTAATAGTAGCCGACATGGGGAGCAGATTGACTCTTCATCTTGCTCTTTCCATAAAAACAAAAGGACTCGTACGAGAGGGTCCCTCCTTTTCCGTTTCACGCTCGTTTACCTAGTCTTCTAAGAGCAGCTTAAGATAGAAACACAGCTCCAACAGGTCGCCTAGGGCCACGCTAAGGTATCCCCACCCCCAACCACCCAAAGGAGGAAGGGATGAGTTCCAAAACACCTACACTCGCACAATCTGCGTAATTCCAGCAAGTGTTCCTCAAAGTGGAGAGCAGTAGATTTGTGTTTTAAAAGACTTTCTCTCCAGTAAAGAACAGCCCAGGACGAGCACAAAGAAAGTCGGTAGAGCAGAATGTGTGAAAAAAGAAAAGAAAAGAATTTGCTGTAGTCTAGGAATGTTACACAAGTAGATCCAGATTCCAGTGCCTGAAGGAGATTTCAGCAGCAATCTCCAGAAAGAGGCAAAAAGACTAAAAACAAGGAGTCAAATTGTCAGGCATTTCCCCCTTTATATGCACATTCCAAGACTTTTTTGAGAAAGACCACTCCCAGGACTTTCAGAGTACCCCGTCAGCTCTCCAAGTAAAGAAAATGGAGAGGGAAGAAGCACACTGTTTCACAGAGGAGCAAACTCTCAGAACGACCGCAGAAGGAAGGAGAGAGTCCCGCCTGCACAGTCACCACTGTTGCCTGTGGATTGAGGAGTCAAATGTCAGTCTGAAGTCAGCATGCTCGTTCTCTCTCTCTCTCTGAGGAGGAGGAGGAGTGGGACCGGTTCATGGGCCCAGCCGTGTCAGATTACACAGCTCCTCCTCTTGCCACTGCCTCCATTCATGTCTCCCAGACAAAGACATTTTACAGCATGGCACCTCTACGACAGCCGGCAACTTAAACAAAACACTCAACGATCACACACGCTGCTCATAAACAGCACTAACAAAACCACAAATACTGAGCAGTGCAGCTTTACGGGCACTTTAATGCCTTTGTAAGTAGAGAGAGAATGTAGTACATTACAACAAATTCAATACCGCCAATCTTAACTGCTATAAAGAAGCTCAGAGCCACATCATACACCACTAAGTATTGCCTCTCACCACTACCCAAAATACCCCAGCGCACGCCCAACATGCCTAGAATAAGGCTGATAAAAACAATCTGACCTTAATGCTCTTGAAACTGACACTAAGGCCTGGACAACAACCCCCAGTGTGACACTACAGGGCTCTGACCGTCTCGTGTGACCTTTGGTCCCTCGCCTCTGTCAAAACATGCCCTGTAGATTTAGCTAGTGATAACATGGCAACCAAAACATTAAATTCCACAAAGCTGTGCTCATGAAACGTCGTTTTAAAATCCTTGCCATTACAGTCACAACAAATGGTGTTCATCTCTAGGTTCTTCAGACAGCCTTTTCCTATTTATGTAAAAACATCTGTTAATCATAGAGCTGTTAAATACAATGATGGACCTACAAAAGAAATTGAAAGCCTTTGAAAATTATCAAAGACCATTTGCTAAGTCTTTTGTTTCAGTGTTGCAACATTATCATTTGAAAGGGCAGATGTGAAGGTTCACGCATGTGAAATGGGTTTTGCTCAGTCCTGCCTCACATACAGTGTGACTGAAACACCTGCAGGCATCCTGTTCTGTGTTAACGGTGCTTATCGTAATTTCTCACTAACCTGTCTGCACGGACACAAGGAAAAATGCCTTGCCATGTCAATGACCAAAAAGTAAAATAAATCAAACAAAATGATGTCGTCTTAAATGACAAAAAGGAAATATCTTTTAAACACTGTCTCTTGACAACAAAATGGTATAATCAACTTAATATTTATTCAGCTGACTTTGAGTTTCCCAAAATATT